TGCTACCTGAACAGGCAACCACCAGATCAAGACAGGATCTGGGAAGCCTGTAGAAAAATGAAACAAGAAACAGAGAGAGTCATTTTCTCAGAAAAAGTATGGCCTAGGCACCCAGGCACTCTCATGCAAAGCAGCAGCTCAGAACTCCCCCTTCAAAATGTCAGGTTCCCTATCATCTGAGTACTGACTCTAAGCAAGCACACCCATGGGACAATCTCTAGATTATTTTGTTTTCTCCTCTTTGCACCCAGACAAACCACAAGAGGAACAACTGGGGCATGGCTGGGGGGAACAAACAGCAGAATGGAGAAAGAGCATCATATAGAAATAGCAACATTTCACTTGATTCACCCTCCAAAAAATCCTTGTGGAAAATTTGCTTCTCTAGTAGAGAAGGGACAACTTCTTGCTGCACAGGTCACTTCCCAGCACCTCGCACAAGGTGCCCAAGCCCTGTACAGACACTGTCCAGAGACAGGGAAGCCAATCTCAAGAGGTGCAACCTGCACAATGGAACAGCTTCCCCTACAGATAGGGTTAAAAGCAGTGACCCAAGAAAGGGGTGAAGGGAGGGCTGCTGCAGCGTTGCAGAGAGGTTTCCAAGCCCTGGGCTCTGCTTCGTATCCAGCTTCCAGCTGCTTGTTTTGCTGTACTTAAACAGAGCGAGAACGGATCAGGGATCCGGGCAGAGCTCAGCTCTCCCAGCACTGGAGACTTCCTTCAGCTTTTCAGAAAGCTCCACACGTGGAGCCCAGCTAACTAAACACCATAGAGGGAAAAACACAAAGCACAAAACAGTCAACTGAAAAATGATCTCTGAATATTTAAGTAGTAAATGCAAATGAAGAGGTCCAAAGTGGTTAAACTTGGATGTTGAGACTGTGCTAGCTCACGGATCCCACATTTCTACATCACAGCAAGTTTCAGTTCTGCTTTGGGCTATGGGCAGTAATGCTTGCAATGAGACTAACTTGTCACGCAAAACCAAGTGGATGATTAAATAATACAAAAGACACCCCAAACTAGAAGCAGGCCATCTTTATAGACTGCACTGAGGCACTTTCACTCGAAGGCAAACTCATGGTAGCTTTTATGTTATGGGTTTTCATTCATGTATTAAAATTTTCCTCTGTTGAGGGTAAAAAGCGACAGCAGACCATAAACACCTAAGTGATAATAAAACCTTTTTCTGTTATCATCTTACAACCTAAATCCATTAAACCAGTGGAAATAAAGGTTTACAATGAAGCCTGAAGGTTGTTCTAAGTAACTTTTCTAGGGAAGCTGGAACAAGCGACAAAAGGGGAGATGTAATGCTGAGGATAAAGCAAGGCTCTGCTTGCAGTTCTTTGCTTACTCTAAAGAGAAGCAGCTTGTGCTGCAGCCTAGCACATGGCTTGGCACTGTGAGATAAGGCTGGCCCTTTCCAAGAAGGAGGCCTAAAACAACCTAATGAAGATGGTTGATGCCAGTGGGCAGATCCCCCAGGATTCTTTGGGAAAAGAGTGGGGGGAGACAGAAGATGAGAAATGCTGCCTCTCCCGCACCTAAGGATAAATCCACAGCTGTGTTTCAGATGTGAGCAGAATCTTCTCAGAAAGCCAAGGACATCTCTCTAAATGAGACGACAACTTTCACTCGAAACCCCTATCTCCGTTTCTCGATTCACGCACAGAGTTGCTGCTACCTGGTCTTCCAGCTTCTCTCCCCGCAGCTGCCCAGCTGAGTCCTCAGAGCACTTGCGGGCCAACCGCGAGGGCTGCAGGCACCAGCACCTTCACCTGCTCTGCTCCTGCCTCGAGGAGGTTACTGTCTTGAAGCCTCAGGCCCTGCAGGAGATGCACACGTTGTAACCAGAGCCACTTCCCTTCAGTTCTTAAAAACACTCTACTGGGGTCTGTTTAGTCAGTGTTGTTGCACAAACAAAAGCCTCACAAGCCTGACGTTTAAAAACATATCTTGCATCCAGCTGCATTAAAGCACTCTTGCCTAATCATTAAAAAATAAACACATGCTTATATTTGTGCTGAGTTCTTCCTCCCAAGGCGATACTATTCTCAACCCTTCTAATCTGCTTGCATAACTAAAGCACCACCTTCTCCCAGGACATACTCTACTTAACCACTAAGCCACTAATTGGCTTTTAAAGCCACTGGGATCTTTTTCACAACTCCACCTGTGGAAACCTTCACCTTCCTGCTCTGCTGCATTCCCCTCTGCCTCTCCTCTCCATCCTAAAGTCTTATTCTCCCCAGACGCCTCATCAAGCCTCAGTCTACTACTTTCCTACACGTATCAATCTGTTCCTAGTCCTTTTGTATGCTCTAGAAAGCTCTGCTCTGTTTCTTTCAAAATACTCCTGTTTAAAGCAGGAAAGCTGCACCTGTTGCTTGAGAGGCAGGCATTTCTCTAAGGAAATGGAAGCAGAACTATACGTAAAGTTGCTTAAAGAATAAACTTAAATATGCTTTAAATCATAAAACACAATTTGATTCTATTTTGGGTGCATAGTTTTGAGTGCCTACAGATGTCTGACATGAGATGTGCCACACACTACATACATCTTTTCCTTGGGACGTGTTCCAGTAAGCTAGAAGAGCAGCAGCAGCTCCTGGCTCTCTGCATGTACCCAAGACATCCAACAGAGATGCTCATCCCACTTTGCAGAAAGGGAACATTCTTCGAACTAGCAATGGCTTCTCCTTTTCAATACATTAGAAAATATGTATCAAGAACAGTAGCAATGCTTTGTTCTACTCAAACAAGAAACAAAGACCCTCCTTGTGAGCTAGGATGACTAGTTAGACATGGGATTCTGAGCCTGCTGGATTCAGAGAAGCTCTCTTGTTACTTTACTGATCAATTCCTTGGGGCCTGCTCCCAGCAGGAATGTATTTCCTACCACACAATGCAGATAAGTGCTTCTATTCTTGCATTTGAGATGCAAGAATAACTGGACTGGATGCAGCCAGCTCGCAAGTCCTCTAGCTCCAACAGAACACACTGCAGAAGTGGAAACTCACTCACCTCAGGGAACCTTGAGCTACTGCCATCATCCCAACAGTGGCCTCCAACACTCCTATGGAATGTACAAGCACTTCTAAACTTGTTGAGGTCCCTCCCAGTGTCCCACCCTCAGGCCTGAGGCATCACCAGTGTTTTCAGCAATCCTCCCCTAGATAAACTGTTGCTCTCCTGTCAAACCCTACTGGGCTTGACAGCAAGGAAGAGCATAGAACCCCATGTGGAGACCCAAACAGATTGAGCTGAAAAGCTGCACGCTTGTCTACACTGTCCACCTTCCCATAGTCCAGGGCACCTTATCACCCATGTGATCACACTGAGGAGATTAATGGACTCCACAGCTTTACATACTGCACATCACCTATTGCAGTGCTATTGCAGTTAGCAGTTAACAGTTCAGGGATAAGTTCAGTCCAGAAGGCAACAGACTTCTTGTTCTGCAGGGTCAGAAGCAGCTGGCAGCACGGACAGGAGGTGGTAACTGCTTGTGCTGCCACAGTTAAACTAACAGCTTGGAGAAGCAATCAGGGGAAGAATTACACAGATGAAGGGGAATAAATCCAACAAGTGGGGAAAAACCCAAATATTCAACATGTCTTGAAAGCATGATGATTCAGCTGCCATGGTAAGCAATTTAGGACACAAAAGGGAACAGAAGCAGGGAGGGAATGGTCAAGTGGTACAAGGTAGCAACAGAGCAAGCTTTCTTCTCTCTTGCTGGCAGGAGTTTTCCCATGAGACTGGGAACGAGCCCAAACATTGAAAGCCTCCCCAGATAATGGGCTCAAGAGGAGAAAGAAAGGGCTCAGTGACAGGAGTAAGTGGCATGAGAAGCAAAGACAGACAAGTCTGTCTTCAGTGTAGAGGATGGAAGGCACCAAGAGATGCCAAAGAAGGGATGTGTCAGAACCTGAACTGATGCACGTAGTCACTGTGTGTTAAAGAGGACTGAACTGTGCTATTTACTCCCCTCCTGCCTTTTTTTTTTCCCCTCCTCCTACAATTAATGTCCTACCAGTTTCCATCTTTCATATTCCAGTCTAACAGAACCAGTAAATGGACCACTGACCTACGGGGCAGCACATTTTCCTGCTGGCAACGGTAGCCAAGCATGGAACATATTTTAATACTAGGCATCTGAGTCATTAAAATCTCATTAAGAGTAAAATTTGGACATTAGATGGATTCCTGAATCAGAGGATTCCATCAATGCTTTTCCCCTCCAACTCTGTAGACCCAAACATGGCAGGCAGTATTCTGCCCTCTGCCCCTTCAAATATTTCATTTCAAACCCATTCCCCACCAGCACTGCTCCTGCCCTTCTCCACAAGAAAAAGTTCAGATTAAGCAGGTCAAATTTCAGCATTCAGTAAAGATTTTTTTTTTCCAAATATATGGAACAGATAAAGGCAAATATGCTTCCCACTTCCTGCCAAGACTGCATACCTCCCTAATGCACATACAGGAAAGGCTTAAGACTTTCTGCACACAGGAAGTGAAAAGCAGAGCATCCAGCACAATATATCCAGTCATGCTACTTAACCCAGCATGCTCCTCTGATGAGATCACACTCCTCTGCCTTTCCTGGTTAAACGAAATACGTTGGGTTTTTTTGTTTGTTTTTTTTTCCCATAGGCAGCCCCTCAAAATTTCCCAAAGTAGCTCTTTCTGCCTCTATTTTAATGTTGTATTTATTCTGTTTGGTTTTCCTCAAGTCACTTGGAAGGTTACCACTACAAAAGGTATAAAAACCCTTTCAAGCATCGTAGAACAAATGAAGTTGATCTTCTCTCCCTCAAACGGAAGGAGAGATACAGGAGGCAAAATGGAGATAAGATGCAGGACAGAGACACATCTTAGCCTGCCCAACACAGCTAAAAACTGGAATCCCAGTTCACAGCCACTTAAATTAACCAGCAACATTCCCCACACACACTCATTTCTTGTGGTACTGCGGTGAAGATGAATCTACTCACATGAAGGTCCTTTGGATTTGCTGAGCCAACCTGAAAGGACAAACAAAAAGCAAATTTAGGATTACTACCAGGCATGCTTCAATCTTTCCCTTCCTCCCCACTAAAACTAATGGAAGTTTAAAATTAAACAAGCTGTGTGGCTAGCTGAGATTTCTATTACTTTCTTTATTCCGGCTGCCTAACTAGTGCTGCCTAGAACAGCAATAACATTATGTTTGTTATTTGAGCATCTACTTCTTAGCCAGCTTTGCTGTCTGGCCATTACTCTGTTGCTCTCCACCACGCTCCTCTCAACCACCTGCCTTTTACTAAATTCTCCAAAGGGACTAGAAAGAGGAATTACCACCCAAACAGCTTCTTTATGTCCACAGGGAGTTACATACTTTGGACTGACTTGCTGATCTCTTCAAGCGCAGAGTTACATGAAACAAGAAGGTTATTATCAAGGTCTTCTGCTCATGCATGACATCCACCCATATTTGACTGGCCTATTGTCCCTGTTTGCACAGAATTCGTCCCTAGCTGTATAACTCCTTCCTTTCAGCCACGTACTTGGAGACAAAGAGAACCGCTGCTTGGGACAGATTCCCAAAGAATAGGAGCACGTCTGCATCTGCTCAGCGCTCCTACAAGCTGTTCTGGGCGATGCAAACAAACACCGGGCCTCCAAGGACCTCCGTGCAGAATAGCCTTGGTACAGGAAAACCCTAAAACAGCAAGTAGCAGCCTGGCCACGTGCATGCCAGAGACAGCACGTGGGAATGGAGTCGTTTCAGTTTGTTCAACTCTATCACCTTAACGGAAATGCTAAAAATTAAAAAGCTAGTTTTACAGCATTCCACTTGTGATCAGTCAAAAGGCAGATTGTGTTTGAATCAAAGCAGACTTGGATTCATTGGGCCTGCATTATTAGTTTTTATGTTTAATATTTTAACTCTTTGCTTCATGGATATTGGTATTTGTTCAATTCAGAATTCTTAAAGGGCTACTTTTACTAACACTTTTTCCCCAAGATCACACTGGTATTATCAATAACAAAAGGTCCAATCTGTTTTGTGACAGTTTTCCTATAGAGTTAGTTATGAATGTAAGAGACTGCATTATTTCAAACATATTTGATAGGAAGCATTCTAATATTTTGGAGAATCTATCTTTAGATTTAACCCAGGAATACAGTGATTAAAACTCAACGAATACTACTGAACAGCAATGAAGTCCCCCTAAATCCTTCTCTTCCCACACCTTCAATGTGCTCCTGAAAATTCATCGTTGGCGCACCACCAAGCTCTGTATTTGTGACTGCCCCTCCTGCCCAGAGGGAGCCGTTTTTCCCAAACTCTGCAGCACCTTTAGTGACCAAGCAGCTTATTATACTCATCTCGTGGCACTCCAGCATACTTGGACTGCACGAGTCAAAATGCTGTAGATTTTTTCTTAAGAAAAAATCCATGCAAAAGTAAAGTCCATCTGAAAGCAGAGACCAGATGCTCACTGACTGGAAATGAGCCTGCCCCGTGCATTCACCATGTGGCAAGCAGCACATGTTCCTACCCAGGCTGTGAATAGGTACCTAGACCCGCAGGATCGGAGGCAACAGCCTTTCTAAGCAGCAGAACGGCTGCAGTACAATATACATTATATGGTCTTAACGTATGAATCACCAGGGCTCTGCTTTCTCACTCCAAGCAGAGCTGGCCTATTGTTTCCAGGCTTGTCTGGCTTTTTATGAGAACATTCTTTAGCTTTTGTAGCGATTGTGAACGTGTCACATCGGGCCGGCATTCAACACAAGCGTTACCATCGGGAGGTTTAATATAATCTCTTGCTTCGTGTTAACATCTCTTTGTCCTGCCTGCTCTGATTTTTTTTTTTTTTTCGCTGCATAAAATAATGAAATGACAATGGTAGGGTGGTGGGGAGAAAAAAAAAAAAAAAAAAAGGAAAAGGAAAAGTTGATTTTCCAAGCGCCTGGCTCGTGTTCTTTGTTTGCCCCTGTGGCCCCCGCTCCCAGCTGACCCGCTCGTGTGCGTGGCTGCAGGTGCAGCTCTCGGGGCCCGTGACACCTCATGGGCACCCCCGTCCCTCCGAGCAGGCGGCAGCTCCTGCCTGCAGCCTCAGCACCCATCCACGGGAGCCCTCCTCGCCCAGCCTCCCCTCCCCGAGGATTTTCTCCCCAGATGTCTTGCTGTCTGTGATGATGTTGGGTCCCCCGACACACACGCTCCCTGCAGGAAGTATTCCCAGCCTATAGCCACTGTAATCCTATTTAGGTGGTGAGTTGCCCCCATCACTCAGGTCACCACAGCTGCTTGCAGGCCATGGAGCAGCACGGAAAAGGAAGTAAGGTGGAGCCACCCTGGGGTCTGCTGATAGGCTTAAGTGGTGCCTTTGGCACTGGGACTGGGCGTCTCTGGGACGCTGCCAGGAAGATGCAGCAGCTCCGTGGCTGTCTGCCTGCAGCCACTCCAGGCCCCTGCATGCGGAGCAGCATGCACTGCAGCTGCTGCATCGGCTCACCGCGGTGCCACGCTGCAAGGCACAGTCCTCGCGCCCGCACCGCAAGAAGCAACACGGTGTTATGGCCAGTGACAGTAAGGCTGGAAGGAAGACACAAGGACAGACCAAATTCAGGGAGACCTTGTCCTTCTTCTGCTCCTACTAGCTGTTCACACCAATGTGAGCCCTTCTTGTGTCTCCTCAGCTCTGCAATACTTAGGAGGCCAAAGTCAGGCTATGCAAGTCCAGACCATCTGATTTCAGGAGCCTCTCCCATCTCAAAGAACCAGAAGGACTGAAAGCACATGATGCCCTTGCGCAGATGAAGCCCTCGGGCAGCTTCCAGCATCAGCCTTTTCCACACAGGATCATCTCTACTTTAAGCTGTGTGCATCTGGCAACTAATATTTATACCCCTCTATCACAGAGAGGCCACTTCAAGCTTCACTGAAGCAGAGGAGCGCCAGTCACTTCACATTTTCAGGTGCCACCATGCTTCAAATAAAGAGGGCTTTTTATTAAAGCTATGTCACACATCTCTGTGGACACAAGAACTACATTATGACAAGTCAAAAGGAGAGACCACTTTCCAATGTATACTGGGTAAACAGGTACATCGTGAACTCCCTTGGGACTATGTGGCTGGTTTTATTCTTCCACTTATTTTGAACAGGCAAATCTCCTGATCTCTACTGTAACTTAACGCTTTACACATCACCCCATTGCAATATTTACATTACTCATCATGCTTGTCCATTATAGAAGGAAAAAAAAAAATTAGAGATGCAAAAGGGAAGACCCAAACTGCAAAGAGCATTTAGAGGAGTGCAGTTAGTGGGTGCTGAGGTGTCAAGACAGCACCCAAGGAACCCCTGAACAGACTCAGCAGCTGAGCTGAAGGCAGTTGGTGCTTCTAACAGCACTTCTTCACATGAGCAATTGCCACAGAGCATACAAATGAGTGTCTCTGCATGAGAACCTCATTCAATCAAAATGTGGTCCATAGGTCCACATACCTGAGACAGGACAAACAACCCCAACGCAGTGAAGAAAGACAGGGGAAGAAAGGGTTGGGGGAATCAGAATGTCAGGGTAAAAACAGGAACTCTTATACTGTTAGTGTAAGGAATATTTTAGTGCCTTTTACTAAGCAGCAGAGCTGAAACTGCTCTCCTGTGGGTACTGGAGGATGTGTTCAAACACATCAGCCTTTTCCATTTTCCCCATAAAAACATAAGAACAACCCCAGACTCCCTCTCCCTGCAGCCTAGGCAAGGGTGTCACTTACCTTTGGTCTCTGCTTCCACGATACAGGTACCAAGGACAACTAGAAGAAGAAATAATCCATGGCTAGCCAAGACACGAGACGATCCTGTGTTGCTCTTTGGTGCTACCATTCCATGGCACATCTTTTATCCACCAAAGTTCCTTTTTAAAAAAATCCCCGAAAGATCTGGTCAAGTAGGAACACCTCAGCCTACAAAAAAAGAAAAAAGACACTGAAGGAAACAGTAAGTATTAAGCCAGAAATTTAGTATATCCAGAGGAAGGAGAGGGGAAATCCAGAAACCACCAAAACCAGTGTTAAAGAATTCTGTCTTACTAAGCAAGTGTTCTTAGTTGGCAAGGAAAAGAGCAGCAGAAAAGGTCATTTTCTGCATAAGAAATCTTAAAAGTGACCGGAATGTTTCACTTGCCCTCTAACATTTCAAGTCTGAAAACCGAGCAGCTTACAATTAGTTTTATATCTTCCTTCTAGGCAATCACAGAGAACATAGCGTCTGGAGACTTGGCTTCAAAATACTGTCAAGAGAAGCAGCCTTGCTGCTGCTCACCCACCAGCTCTCAGAGGGGCTCCAAGATGCAGAAGGCTCCCAGACAACTCTGACAGAGAGATCAAACGCTTCTCAGCCGCCCGGAGAGACACGGCAAATGTGACAGGCAGCTGGCACGCACACGCTGAAGAGAGGAATGTGAAAACAGCAGCTTGCAAACCTCAGGTATAAGGCTCTGACAGTGCACAGCGTGGCAATTAAAATTGCAGGATGTGACACTATTCATACCTGAGCATTGAGAGATTCAGCCGCAGCCTATCAGGCACGGCCACATTGAAAGCACGTTAGTAAATGAACACAGCTCGAGCAGCAAAAGGTGCTCAGGAAATCATGAAAGCGCAAGCTGAACCTCTATTCTGAATGAAAAAAGCCTGGACAGAATACAGGTCCCCTTGACTTTGAATGGTTTTGGTCTGCAAGACCTATAATGGCAAATGAAAGAGAGAGAGAACTAAGAATCAGTGGGTTCCTGTATTATTAAAGGAATACAGATGGGTTCCTGCATTACGAAGAGGAAAACAGATATAGGGATAATCATTCAGTGATACAGCCAAAAAATATTTGTGAAGGCATTCCAATACTCCTTTTACCATGCCGTTCCTTACACAAACATGTTAAATTTTCAGGGAAAAAATATTTTTGGGGAAAATGTTTTCTTACACTCGCCCAGAGGAATACTTCCAATTTGAGAGAACCCCACTCAGCCTATTTCTTCAATTAAACGGATACTTATGCTGGGAAATTCAGAACCATTGGACAGTCTCAAAACCATCTGGGAGAGACGCAGAGGCAGGTCCCGTGTTCCCCCAGGCACAGAGAGATGAGATGCAAGCCCTGGACTGATGTCCCTATGCGGGAAGGGGCTACAGCATCCAGACACATTGCCAGGATAAGTCAGCACACCAGCATTTGCTCATACTGAGCTCAAAAGTGGGCTGATATTTAAAATTTAGATCTGTCAATTCAATTAGTCTCTATCAAAAAAATCCTTCTGTGTTTGTGTGTGTGCGTGACCTGAGCACAGAGACACACCAGTAATTCACTTTGTGGTCTGTAATACCTATTAGATTACAATGCATGCACAAAAATGGTAGGAAATCTTGGTTGGAACTGAATGTCATGGCTATTTTTTTCTTCTATAGAAACAGTGTAAAAACAAAGAATAAATAATAGGCTGTGAAAGTGAAATCAAAGCCCTTATCACTTAAAAAAAACCACCATGGTAGCAGAGGTAGCAAACTGAGCCAGGCATTTCAAGATGCCATTTAAACGGACACGTGACAAGTCTGATGCCAGAAGAAACCCAGTCTGTGGCTGCCCCTTTCACTTCTTGCTTCATTTGGAGAGGGCGGGAGGGAAGCGAAGCTGCCCTGCTCCGTACCCAGAGCACGGGAGGCACATTGCACGTGTGCCAGGGACGGGCATACAACACTTTGCCCAAAGCCAGCAATCCCACCATGCAGGAAGGATTAAGGATGCGGCCACAATTCCTTCAGCAACAAAAAGTATTTCTCATTGAAGAACATGGATTTAAAGAGTCACCCAGTCTGTACATTTGCTCCTCCAGTCTGATCTCCTGCATGGATTTCATGTTCATCTTTGACTGGAAAAGGTCATTATCTCTGAGCCAACAGCTGGCCCCTTTCTGCTGCTCTATGCAGAATTATATTCAAAGCAAGGCAGGATCTATCTCCAGCGAATGACCCTGCGGATTGATCGTACAAGGACAGGCCTGCCCTCCCCATCCCCATTTAATAGGACGTTATTAGCATAACAAACTCTTCAAGTCCTGCAAATGTTTATTTTAAAGGCAGCCAGCCTGCCCTTGGACCAGCATCTGCTGGATGAAATGCAGTAGTAGACAGGAGAGGTAGGGAAGACCGTGTGCCGTAAATTCTGATCACAGAATTTGCTGTGACACTGGGGTCTGCTGCGCAGCCCTCAAGGCATTTTCCTCTCCCAGAGACTGCAATGGAAGTTTGCAGCCTAATTTTGGTATGTGAACTGCAGCCATGTCAGAGGCACCCAGAGCATGGATATCCTCTGGGGAAATCAATTATTGACCGTTCCTGATCCATTAATGGGTTGCTGCAAAGCACTGGGCTGGCTGGCTCTCCTCCAGGGCCAGGCCTGGCTGCCGCGATGCTCTTCTGCCATGGAGGTTTCGGGGAAAGTCCCTGGCCACCACGCAGGGCTGCTCTCCAGGACTGCTGCAGGGAGGTGCTGCTGTCCCTGCAGCAACGCCCCAGCAAGCTCATCAGCCTCACTGGGGGATTTGGAAGACACCCCTGATAAACTCCTCAGAACTGCTAAAATACAATGGGCCCAGGTACTGCTGAGCAGGGAGGGGAGAGGAATCTCCTCCCGCAGGCTGTGGCCAAGCTACAAAACTAGTTCCCAGCCTTGCCCTCCCTTTGGCAAGAGGAGCAGATCAAAGAGATTCTGGCTCGATAAGAAAGGCATCCTCTCCCCCCAGAGCAGAGCTGCTGGTTGGGAAGCTTTTTACACAGACATTCACTTCACTGAAAGCTGCCTGTTGTTTTAGCACATTCCTTGTACGTACAGCTCGGGCAGAAAGAGCTTTCCTAACAACTTCTCAAGCCTCTGCCTCCAGAGGAGCACTTGCAACGCCCAAGGAGTCAGCCAAGGACCTGTAGCACTGCAGGGCAGCCACTTTCCTCCCTAAAACAGTAGCAACCCACTTCACACAGACACAGCTACATGCTGCACGCTGGAGAATTATCTCCTCTCTTGCCCCTACCACCTCCCCTGCGTGTCTCAACCACAGCGTGGAGGAAATCTTGCTATCTGGTCTCACCACTGCCGCGGAAACAAAGAGCTGGAGCTGGCCAGGCTGGCGAGCCTTATCTCAGGACAGCTCTGTGTTTCTGAGAGGAAGCGAATGCTAGTAAGGAGAAAAAAAGAAAAAAGTTTGCCTTATTTATGTTTTTCTTAGCTTTGGCAGCATACAGCGTGGAGCACACGCATCTATCACAGACGCACTCCCAGGGAGATAACTTAATAAATCAAGAATTAATGTAAATCAAAGTGTTTTCCCTGTTTATCCACAGGGCTAAGGAACAGGCTGGTTTATTTAATGGATCCCAGCAACTGCAAGGCATGAGTGTAGTGTAGAGGGTTAGGAGCCTTCAGACGTACCTCACACACCCCAGCCCAGGCAAAGAGGCTATGGGAGAATGAAGTTTCACAGAGATGTTTGGAGAGATAATACTCAGGACAGCCAGTGGTTCCCATAAACACAGAAGAGGGAAGAAAGGAGGTTACAGTGCATCAACCAAGAGCTTTTTCTCTTCTTTTTTTTTTTTTTTTTTTTTAAACACTCCCTGAGAAACACCTACTAAAAATGGACAAGAAAAATAAACAGTCCACCACGGCCACAAAGCCAACAGCCACACGCCTTCCTGGAGCACGTTGTGCACAGGGAAATGTCCTGCGCTTCCCGGTTCCCGTGGAGCATGGGCTGGAGCGGAGGCTGCGAGGCCGCCACGGAGCATCCCGCAGCAGGATGCGACTCTGGAGCGGGCAGCGACCTCCACAGAAACCATGCGGGCCAGACCTGTTGCTCCTCAGCTCCAATGGGCCCTTTCCAGCGCTGACACACACATGACAGAACCTCTCCTAAGCTGGGCTCTTTGGTGACCTGTGTCATTTAATCCTCCTCTAGGCCTTTGGAAGCTGCCAGTTCCTACACTCACTCCATAATGGTCACCCTCCTCAGTAACAAAGCATGCATTTTCCTAGGGCTGGGATTAGCTTCCTGATCTCATTTTGGCACAGCGGCACCGCTGGGTGCCTGGAGAAAAGTGTTCTTTGAAAGGCCCTATGCCCGGGACAGCTGGAAAGAACCAGCTTTGGTAGCTCTGGTGTCCCAAGGGGACATCGTGGGATGTGGCGGAAGACAGTCTGAGAGACTCTGGTTGCTTGAGATGCCTGGCAAGGATGTGTCCTGTACCACCACTGCTGGGAAGCAGGTCTTTAGCTTGCGATCTTCAGCCTTTGCCTAGGGAAGCACTTGCCTAGGGAAGCGTGCCGGGAATGCCACTAGCTTGCTTTTAAATACCACACTCCAAGCTGGCCAGAGAGGAGCAGTTCCCTCAAGCATGTCAGGAGCACCTCCCTCAAGGCTGCCGCTGCCCCTTCGGAGTGGAGGCTGGGGCGGCAGGGCCAGGCTGCACGAGCACAGGGTACTTTTCCGGGACACGTGGAGCGCTCCGGCCTCGCGGCGGGAGGGCCTCGTGCAGCAGCAACGGGCTCCGGGTTTAACTGTCACACGCAGTTGCTTCCCCCTGGCCCTTTTGCAGCTTGGTTACTCACTGAAAACAGGCAAAAGCCTGGGATTTAATGGAAGCAGCCATCATCCTCAGCCTCCTCAAAGCCGCAGGGCCGGAAGAAGTAAGGAGACCCTAATTCCACTGAGTTTCTGTGATTAAAACAATTTAATGGGCAGCTTTTAGAAAGAGAATTTCATTTGTTCAGTTTTGTGACAGCTTTTGTTTGAACTATTCAGTCAAATGAGAAGTACACCAAGGAAAAAGGAGAGTGTTGGAAGCTACCAGGAGGCAGAGCACAAGCCCCTGAGCAGCTGATCCCCAGCCCCAGCCACTCCGAGCCAGCAGGATCA